ATCAGGAAGTAGATAAAACAAGGATTTTGAAGTTCCTTAAGAGGGCATGGACATGACAGCATTCCTTTGTGTGGCAGTAAGACATGGGATTAGTGGACATAGACTTAGGACAAGTGAAAACAAAACAACCCAGCAAGCCAGCAATAACAGAGCAGTGGAAGGGGGTTACAAATGAAAAAACAAAAAAAACAAAACAAAAAACCCTCAACATGAAAGACCTAGTGATGCAAATAGAGTATTTTGGTTTTTAGAATTTAGAATTTCTCTGTTCAAGAACTCAATTCATGATCAGGTTGTTGCCAAGTATGGTCTTTCAATTTTAAAACACCAAGTAATTGAACTTTGGGTTCTGTCCCCCCAAGAAAAATATAAATGTATTTAAGGATTATGGCTTAGAGGTTTAACCAGTGGGATGTGAAACAGTGTGCACCTGAACAGCCCAGAGCAGTGGTTCTCTACCTTCCCAATGCTGCCATCCTTTAATACAGTTCCTTGTGTTGTGGTGACCCCCTGACCATTAAATTATTTTTGTAGCTTCTTCATAACTATGATTTTGCTACTCTTATGAATCATAATGTAAGTATTTTTGGAGACAGGTTTGTCAAGGGAGTTGCAAGCCACAGGTTGAGAACCACTGATCTAGATAGTTATGTGAAATACTATATGCCATGAAAAGTACCTAGAACTTGTCTGAGATTATAGTATCAACCAAAGGCTTTGATTTAAAGAAAAGCAACCACTTGAACTTAATGTTACAGAACCTAATACAACAAGGTGTCTTGTGGGGGGGTCTATTTTAGGGGGAGGGGTAGAGTGGGGTAAAATTGGCTTCATTAACAAAACCCTACATGTCCATCCACTTCAGTTCCCTTGAGCTAAGGCTTTAGGGTGCTTTTTCCAGGGCATTTTATCACAGCACGGGGAAACAAGTTTAAAAGAACCTCACAATTCACATTTGCACCCCGCCCCCTAAATTTATTCAACTTGAACACTTTTTAGTTTTGAAATGCCTTCACAAAATGAATATCCTATAAAGTTCCCAAGCCATTTTATAGAGCATATGTGTTAACAGTAAAGACAAAATGTCATTTTAGAACTTGTTACTACATGTCTTTATACATCTCCTCTGTGGTTCTTTTCTTTTCTTTCTTTGAAATCTTGCACCAGTATTTTTACTTTTCCAGCCAAAATTCAGTTGGTTCTTTTAAATTCAGAAATGGAATCTACAACTATACATTATCTCTTCCTCAGCATAGAAAGCAAACTCTTTGGTTGGCGCCCTGCTTTTCCTTGTCAGTCTCTCCTACCCCAGGCTGTCTTTAGTAAGTCTTCTGTGTCCTTGTTTTCACTCCACTCCACATACCTGAGCCATTTACCCAGTCACCTCAGCCAAGCTCAAGGAAAGATGGAGAGCAGGATCAAATGTATATAAGAATATTACAGCTATAGTTTAAGAATCATGACTACCCTGGCAGTGGTGGTGCACGCCTTTAAGCCTATCACTCAGGCGGCAGAGGCAAGTGGACCTTTGTGAGTTTGAGGCCAGCCTGGTCTACAGAGCAAGTTCCAGGACAGCTAGGGCTGTTACTCAGAGAAACCCTATCTCAAAAAATATAACAAACAAACAAACAAAAATCATGATTAGTGGGACAGGTGGCACATACCTGTAATTCCAATGCTTGGAAAGTAGAAGCTGGAGGATCAGGAGTTGAAGGGCAGCTTCAAATACATAATTTGAGTCCAGCCTGAGGTCAAAATAATAAATAAATAAATAAATAAATAAATAAATAAATAAGAATCATTATTAATTTCTGTTTTGTTTACTTGGGTCTGTTTGTTTTGAAACCGTGTCTCAAGTACCCCAGACTGATCCTCCTGCCTCCACCTTCCCAGTGCTGCCATTATGGCTATTTGCTATCACACCATTTTACCTAGGGTTGAGAACTGAACCCGGAGCTTCATGCATACTAGGCAAATATTCTATCAACCGAAGTACACTCCCAACTCCTATTTTATTTTCCCCTTTCTTTTCTTTTTTTTAAATTTTTTTTTATTAATTCTTAGTGGATTTCACATCATGAACCCAGATTCCATTCATCTGTGCTCTACCCTTGCAACATGACCCCAAAATGAAATTTAAAAGAAAAAATTCTCATATTGGAAGCTGTGATGTGTCACAATTAGTCACACAGTTATGCTCGTTAGTCCACACATCTTTACTTGTAGTGAGTCATTGGTCTGGTTCAAAGCCTCTGGCTTCTGCCACACTATCGATATTGGTCCTCATTGGGACTTCTCTTTGGATATCCTGTTGTTGCCTTGTGTCATGGAGATCCTGCAGCTTTGGGTCTGCAAGACAGACCCTTCAGGTGCTCCTGCAGTTCACAGATGGGGTGGATTTGGGGGTGGGCCAACTCATAGCTTGGTTCTAGGCCTGGGTGGTAGCTGGCTGGGTTGGTTAGCCTGCCAGTTCTCCCTCATTCTCAACACCAGAGTGAACTCTAGCACTGCTCCAGCTAGCTCATCCAATGCAGCTGGCAGCAAGAGGTAGGACCTGTACCCTGCTCTCATGCCCTCAGGGCTAGCTCAGCCACACCACCAGGGCCAGCTCTATTGTGCTGTTCAGCTGAAGTGCTAGGCCTGCTTTCTGGAGTACTAGAGCTGGTGACTGGCAGGGCGAGATCTCCTGTTCTCATGCCCCCAAGGCCAGCTCTTCTGCCTGCCACAGATGGCTAGGGGCAAGGGGCAGTGGGGGCATCTTTCTCTTGGCCACACCACCACATGGCAAATGGAGGGGGTGGGACTAACTTTCCCACTCTCTTGCCTTTGAGGCCTGCTCACCCTCACCCTGCCTACAGGGCCAGCCCTACTGTGCTGTCCTGGAACCGGGACTGCTCTCTAGACTGAGACAGCCATTGAGTGGCAGGACAAACTCTGTGCAGCCCCAGGCTATCAACATGATTCCCAGATGGCAGTCTAGACCCAGGACATCCATATGGCCTTTGGTGGTGACATGGGCCATGGACATCAACACAGACCCCTACTATTGCATGACCACAGACCCAGACATAGCCCTCAGTGACTGCACAGGCCAGGACTTCACCATGGTCTCAAGTGACTCAACAGGCTGCTCACAATAGCTGTTCTTCTCCACCATCGAGTCTCCAGTTCCGTCTCCCTTCATAGTGCACCAATTGGTCCCCTTCCATTTCTCTACTGCCTGTTTGCTTGCTTTCTCTCCCATCACTCCACCACCTACTTACTCATGTCCCACCATGCCCTGGGGCCACAATGGTGTCTGTTGTTGCACTTCGAGGAATACCTGGGCCTTCCACCCACCCCTAGTTTGTTTTTTAATAACATAATCTCTATCAACATACACAAGACAAAGTTTCTATTGTTTCATTGTATTATTTTTCATTATTTGTCCTTGATTTTTAAGAACAGAATTTTTGCTCTTTTTTAAAAAAAATATAACAAAAGGAATATAAGAAAAGGTAATAAATATTTTTATCATTAAGGGTTCATTAAAATAGGTAGTTCATTTTCTCAAAGTCTAAAATTATAGAAGACATTTTGCAAGGATTAAATCCTCAAGGTGTTTGTAAGCTAAGATCTAGAAATTTCTAACCGATTTAGTCAGAGATGCAAGCACTAATAACACAGAATAGCTTTCATTCCTTCCCTTGATTAGGTCCTTATTATGAGATTTAATATGAAAAACTGTTCAATTTTATGTTGTTTTCAATTCTCTTTGCAAATTTGTTGCCATTTAGTATTCAACAGAAGCTACAATTTAGATTATTGCTTTCTCCTTAAAAAGTTTTTAAATCTGTTATTATCTCTAGTATCCCTTCATCCTTAGGGTTGGTTTCAGGGTGTGAATTTTCAATCCTATCAGATATTCTTCTCAGAATACCTCAGGGGCATGTTTCTCAAAGTGGCAATTCTGAAGTCCAGCCTACAGTGCACAGCCCTAACAATCCCAGGCTATGTTAGAGCTTTTGATATTCTCATCATTGTTCTTTGGCCTCCTGGTCTACAGCATCTATCATATTGAAATTATGCTCATTTATTTATTCCATGTACACATGAATTAAATGACTGTGTTAGTGTGGTTTTATGTTGCATAATACTTTAATATAGTTTTATACACCTTTAAGATCATAAGTCCTATTAATTCTTAGCAACTTTATTATGCCTTAAAACAATTTGCATAGTAAAAATGTGAATTGCATAATAATAAGTATATCCTTTTGATAATCACCTTTTCTCTTTCTGCCCCTCCCATTCCTTCCTTTTTCCTTTGCTTCTGATTTACACTAAATACCATCTCCTCCCTCTTTCTCTTCTTTCTCTTTTCTCTTCCTTCTTTCCTTCCTTTCTTCCTTCCTTCCTAATTGTACATCATTAACCACCCAATCTGGAGGCAATGAGATGGTTTAGTAGATAAAGGCACGTGTTACCAAGCTTGACAGCCTGAGTTCAATCCCACATGATTGGAGAGGATGTGTGCCAGAGCATAAGCATGCCCACCTCCACCCAAGCCCCTGCCACACACAACAGATAAATATTTAAAAAAAAAAATAAAAGAACCTAATTCTTTCAGAGTTTTCTCTCATTGCATTCAGATTCTCAAAACTGGGCGAAATGATGTTTTCTAACTTTCTTTTCCTCCTTCCACTTTAGTTTTCTGGTAAAGTTATATGAGAAAGAAAAAAACAGTAAATAAGTTTTTTATTGTTGTTGTTGTTTGTTTTTCTGTCTAAGATTGTCACATCTCTGGGCCCACATTTCTCGATCCTTCTCCCTTCTTTGCACAGATTAGCCCATGACATCAAGTTGAGCACCCACCAATGGACTGAGACATCATCATTACATATGTTGGGTATCAAACGACAGAGGCCATTTGGGGGAGTGTGTTCAGTTGTCTCTTGGCAACCTTTTTGCTAAAAGAAATCGCCTTGAGGAATTAATTACTTTTGTTTGTGTTTCTTTGTACAGCACTAAGATAATTTTTCCCTCTTGTGTATGTCCTTGACCATTTCTCATTTGGACTCTGGGTATTCATAACATCATGAACAATTAACAAATAGCTAGCTATTTCTAAATTAATAAGGTTTGTCAATTATTATAAAACATAGTTTGTCATGAGCAACAGTCTTGGGTGCTAGTACTCTTCCACGATTATATTTCAGCAAATACCACCAAATATATCTCTACTGTCTTTGATGCCATTTTAATAGATTCAGATTCACTTGATAAGAAGTCCTTAGATTGTTCAAGTGAGACTTTCTACAAAACTGAAATATTAAAATCTTACCTTTCTATAAAAGCAGTTGAATAAATTTCTCCAAACCTTGCCTTTGATCTCTGGTGCTGTAATTATATTAATGGTTTTACGCATGACGAGGCATGGTCTGCTCAGCTTTGTTTCAATTGCTTAGTTGCTGTCCGTCACGTTTTCTCCACTCATCTGCAGTATTAACAACTTAGAACATTTTTTCCTGTCAACATGAATATTGAATGATGTTTTTGCTCTTAGTCTTTTGGCTCTTTAGCCTTTTGGCTTTTGGAAGGATCCACCACTCAGCTCCCAAATCAATCACACAAATAGGCTTATTATTAATTACGGATGCCTGGTCTTAGCTTGGCTTGTTTCTTGTTAGCTTTTCTTATCTTAAATTATCCCATTTATCTTTTCCCTCTGGGATTTTATCTTTTTATTTCTGTATATCTCACTTTCCTTCTTCCTTCATGGCGGGCTGGCCCTTGTTCTCTGGTTGTTCTTCTCTTTTCTTCTTCTACGTATACTCTCTACTTGCCAGCCCCGTTTATTATTACTTCTGCCTCTCTATTGGCCTTTCAGTTCTTTATTAGGAGCGTCAGGTGTTTTAGATAGGCCCAATAACACAGCATCACAGAGCTAAACAAATGGAGCAAACAAATGGAGCATAAACAGAAGTCACACATCTGAAAATGGTATTGTACCACACAGGAATGCTTTTTTTTTTTTTTTTCTTTCTTGTTGCAATACCCTTCCGCCTGACATGGTGAGGGTGCTTAACTTATTACATTGCTTTCTGTTTTCAGCCAACACTGTGTTTAGTTGCTGTAGTTTTGACATGTTTTGCTCAGTGCAGAAATATGGACAGCCTGGTGCTATTATGTCACTTCTTCTGTCATGTCTTATATCACCCAGTAAAGTCATTTCTCTCAAGTCATGCTTGGTTTTATTCTTGATAACCTCCTATGATGATCACTGCATAGTGAGTTAAAATAGATGAACATATAATTTTAAACTTATTTTTCAGCCCTCTAACAGGCTTTGCCTGCTGCTTAAGGCTTAGAAACTAAGTGGTAATGACCTATACAATAAAATAATTCATGCTCATGGTTCTCTCTGAGTGGGATTTCTTAGTACATTAGAGACAATCTTGTCCTTTGTAGAGCTCAGGATAGTGAACATTCCTCGTCTGAATGTTGGAGGTTACAGAAAAGAGAACACATTCCCAGACGAGTTAAGGTTCAGCCTTTAACCTTACCAGTGGGGCCTTACCAGTGGGGCCACGTTAACTCAGCTATCCAACTTATAAACAAGAAAGCCAAAAATCTCCTTTTATTACTGGCTTCTGTTCCAAGACTACAGAGAACAGCAGGGGTAACTAAAACCCATTTACAAGGTTACAGTAGGCTACCCCCACCTTCTCACTTATTTGTAACATTTCATTTTGTCCTTTCTAAAACATAAATTTTGGAAAAGTAAAAATGACTTCCTGTTTCCTTTTCCTTCAAGTATCAAAATGAGTGGCCCCTGAGCCTGGGACCACTGTGCCCTTTTATGTTAAATTGACCTGTAGCTCTGTTCTCTGGTGACCTCTCATTGCTTTGTGTATCTTGAATGTGTTTATCTACATGATAAAGAAAGCATTTCCCAGAAGATAGATAGGAGCTTCTGCCTTCCCTTGACAGCAATTTCTTGTAGTTTTTAAATAATGAAAATTGAGGGAGGGAGCCTTTTGTGCCATTCCTGCTTCCAGGGTTTTCCCCTTGGGGAGGTGGGCTCTGTGAAAGCTGAAACTTCTTCTTAAAGTCTGTGACACCCAGTTTTAGGGTTTTAGGCTCTGACTGTATCCAAGTTGTTTTTTCTTTCATTCTGCATAGATTTGTTGAGTGCCACTGGTGTAACTGGTGCCATCTGGGACTCATCAGGGCAAAGGAAAACCCCTCCTCCAGCTATGAGAAAGAACACTCAAGATGAACTAATGATGAGGTTAAGTGTGCATGAGCTATCAGCAGCATGAAGGGAATGTGAATCAAAATTATTCTGAAATCACTGAGCTATGTTCACACTCCAGAGGAAGTGTTCCTCAGGTATGATAGAATAATATCTTGGCTGTCAACTTGACACACTTGGAAAGAGGGACCCTCAATAGAAGCATCGGCTTCATCAGGCTGACTTATGGGCATGTGTGTGAGCATAGAGTCCAGAAGGCTAAAATAAACCCTTTCTAGCTAACTAGAACAACAGGCAAATGTGAACAGCAGGCACAGGCTGGGGCTGGAGCATGCCCAAGTCTTAGAAGAACAGCAAAGAGGCCAAGGTCAGAACCTGAAACTATAGCACTTAGGTCTCCTGTGACTGGCAGTTCCTTGAAATCCAGACAAAGGAGAGAGAGAGAGAGAGAGAGAGAGAGAGAGAGAGAGAGAGAAGATTAAATTTAAAAATCGCTCATTGTCTTCAGGCTTTCTTGACCCTTCCTGTATTTGAGGTCTCTGAGCTGTCTGGGGGCACTTTAGCACACACCTGACATTAGACACTTTCTCCACGATCCCTGAAGCTCCAGGCAGTTTATTCCAAGAACAACCACTATGTATCTGTTTCTTCTAAGTGCACTGTCCCTAATGAAACACGGTGGGCATCTAGTTTGGTTTTTCTTACTCCTGGCTGTATTCTTAATTGCTTAACAATGGCATCTCATCGACAGATGCAAAGCTGCTGAGATCATACCAGTCTCACTAAAATAAAACTGGCTGGCATCTGAGGGGATCTTGCCTGGCCTTCTGGACTCTATGCTCTCACTCTATGCTCATCTGTGCCCTACTTTCAGAACATAACTCCTATGGGAAGATGTTGAATTACAGGAATTCCTATTGGATATTTCTCGGCTTTGATGGTGCCTTAGGACCACAAAGTAGGGACAAGATACTGCCCCCAAACCAGGGCCTCATAGGGAAGGTAGAGAGGGTGATGGTAGTGGTGTATCAATGCCTGCTGAGGCTTTGTCTATCAAGTAAAAGTGGGAAATGAGTGAGAGCCATAGTAACTCCTGCATCTTTAGGAAAGTCCATTCTCAGATCTCACCATTACTGCAGCAAATGTGTGTGTGTGTGTGTGTGTGTGTGTGTGTGTGTGTGTGTGTGTGTGTGTGTGTGTGTGTGTGGCGGGGGAATCACTGTTTTCAACTTTGATTTCAGGAGGAGAAAAAAATAGTTCAGTAAGAATGGCTTTTATCTAAAAGACCAAAGATAGCAAGCGCTGGTGAGATGTAAAGAGAAGGGATGTTTGTACAATCCGGATGGGAATATAAATTAGTAAAACCATATGGAAAGCAATATAAATGAAGATTCCTCAAAAAAAAAAAAAAAAAAAAGTAGAGCTGCCAGTGATCCAGTGATTACACTTAGGATACATTTCCAAAAGAAATAAAATCAGTGTCTGTGTTCATTTAAGCACTGTTCACAACAGCAAAGTAAGTTGTGACACTCATATTGCCATCTCAGTGACCCAACTGGTACATGGAGGCCTGGAGGAGGCTGGTTTCTTTGCTCTGTCTGGCTGCTGTCTGGATTCCTGACCTAGTTTGACCCTGGCTCTGGATTTAATCCCTGCCAGCACTTTTGAGTATTGCATTCAATGGTTGTCTGGAAAGGGGTTGGGAAGCCTCTTGGATTGAGTAATCTTATAACAGAAACCCGGTGTAGCCAGCACTGTAAGATCTACCCATGCCTCAGCCTCAGTGTTCCTCCTGGGAGGCCTCTAATAAGCCAACCAGGACTTCAGTCTCCCTAACACAGTGTTTCTTAACCTGTGGGTAGAGACCCCTTTGGAGGTTGAACAACCCTTTCACAGGGGTCACCTAAGACCATTGGAAAACAGATACTTACATTACAATTCATAACAGTAGTCAAACTACGTTATGAAATAGCAATGAAAATAATGTTATGGTTGGGGGTCATCACAACATGAGGAACTGTATTAAAGGATCATGGCATTAGGAAGTTTGAGAACCACTATTCTAATGGATTCTACATCCATAGGGAGTCTCTGGATTTCCCAGGCTCAACTTGACTTCAAGCTGAGGGTGATCTTAGCCCTCTGCTCACTTTACCATCTCATCAAGGTCCTTCATGCTCCAAAGGCAGCCGAGGACTTTGCAGATTCTGTTGCTCAGCAAATTAGAAATGGTGTGTCAGATCCTTACTCAATTGCCTACAGCTGCAAAACTAAAAATGGTGGTTTACAATGTTTCCCCCTTGTGGGCATGTGGTCAGAACAAATCTTCCACTCATTCAGATGACCTCTTTTCTATCTGTGCGCCCTCTCCTGAACTCTTCTGTTGGCAGCAAAGCCAGGGATTGCTCTGTACTGGCTTTCTTTGCTTCCTCCAAGGTATGTGTGTCTATATATGTTCATGTACATACTGCCTTTTCTCTTAAATGAGAAATTTGGTTTTCTTCTTCTCTTACATAGCTAGCCACCATTGTGGTTTATATGCCTATATGATTGTTCTCTCAGTCACTGCCACACAAGCCCCTTCTCTTGTTCAACCTCTACTGGAGTGACAGCTAAGTTCTAAAGGATCAGGCTACTTTCTTGTTTATAATCTTCAAGGTGCTATCACTTTCAGGATTAGGTTCCGATTTTTTGGCTTAGCTCACAAGACCCATCAAAATCCACTGAATGATTATCTCTAACAAATAGGTATAGATAACTAGATAGTTATATCTGTAACTATCTAGACACAGAAATAGAGACAAGTTACTTAACTATTCTGTGCCTTTGTTTCCATCCCTTGTAAAATAGATACATAAGTAGCAGGTAAAAATATGATTATTATGAGTGTTAGATGACATTGGGAATATAAAATACTTAGTCAGTTGATGGTAATGTACTTCTGTGTATGTTTATCTTATTGATTGTTGAATAAAGCACTGTTTGATCAATGAGGCATCAAGTTAGGCAGGACTAAGAGTCAGGGAGGATTCTGGGAAATGTAGTAAAAAAAGTCTTGCGATCCAGGCATACAGACAGTGCCTCCCACACAGAAAGCAAGCTGTTTCTGTTTATACTGAGTATCTGGCACATAGGTAACACCAACCTATTATTATTAGCATTCTTTTCATCTCACCTTCCTTTCTGTCTCCTGCCTTTGGCTATATTGTCTTCTTGACATTTCAGAATACAGCCTGTGACGTGATTTGGGGGGAGTACTTGTGGTGTTGCTTTCTTTGTTTTCAATGCCTTGTCTCTTTCCTTCCTCTACCTAATACTTTGTCTCAAAGACCCTGAACATAGAGCATCTTCCAGGAAACCTGCCTGTACCTTTCTGCACCAACCCCTTTTGCTTGCCCTGTGCTTCTATAGCTTCTATTGATAACTCATTCACTATGCTGAAATGAAGGCTTCATCATAAGTCTGTTTCCTATACAAGACTGGGTCCCTTAGGGACAGGAGACAGTCACAGACCCCCATTTCCCAGAGAAAAAGCACTGATGTTACTGAAGTAAGGGGTTAATGATGGTTGTTGGGGGCTGAAGAGATAGCTCAGCATGGCTCAGAGGTCTAGCTCTTCCTGAACTTCAAGAGAACCAGGTTAAGTTCCCAGCCCTATATATAACTACCTGTAACTCCAAGATTTTGCATTATTAGTTTATTGTTAGTGATGAAACTAAGCTGGCCAATAGAAAATCAATCACAGATGAATATATTTTTTAAAAACTGCTCACAGTTTTTTCAAACGGAGAACTTCTTACAACAGTATGAAGTCTACTGATGGTGTTTGTATTAGAATGAATACCCTGCCTCATTGTACACTTTTATATGGCGGTATTGTTTATTTGGACTTACAGTTCCAGAGGAATAAGAGTTTGTGATGACAGAGGAAGGGCATGGTAACTGGAGCAGGAAGCTGAGAGCTCACAACTTGAACCAGAAGTAGTAATCTGAGAGTGAATTTGAAGTAGCACAAATATTTATACTCTCATAGCCTGCCTCCAGTTACAACTTCTTCCAACAAGCTGTACCTCCTAAGCCTCCTTAAACAGTGCCACTAACAGGAGCCCAAACATTCAGATGTCTGAGACTAGGAAGTTCATTCAAACCACCACAGTATTCTATTTCATTTTTTTATAATTTAGTGTGTGTGTGTGTGTGTGTGTGTGTGTGTGTGTGTGTGTAATGTTGGGCGTTAGGAGTGTTCCTGCCATGGTGCATGTGTGGAAGTCAGAGAACAAATTGTGAAGTTGGTTAACTTCTACTTTTACTTGGGTTTCAAGGATCAAACTTAGGTGGTGAGGCTTCCACAGAAAGTATTTGCCCACTGAGCCATTTCTTGCAGGCTCAATGTTTTTAAAGGGATAGCAGTAATGAGGGTATGGTACAATGAGGCAGGGTATTCATTCTAAGTGGGAGTTTCTTAAAGTTCTTCAAATAACTCTAAGTGAATGTATTATTCAAGATAATGTAGAGCAGTGTTCTCAACTTGTGTATTGTAACTCCTTTGGGGGGTCACACAACCCTTTCACAGGGTCACCTAAGCCCATTGGAAAACACAGATGTTTACATTACAATTCATAATAGTAGCAAAATTACAATTATGAAGTAGCAATGGAAATAATTTTATGGTTTGGGGTCACCATATTATGAGGAACTGTATTAAAGGATCACAGCATTAGGTAGGTCAGGAACTACTACTATAGAAGAAGAGAAATAATAGGATGTGTGCATATGCATACATATATACACATGTGTTTATTAAAACGACTAACATGGAAATATTAACAGCAGCTGTCTCATGCTCGAGGGGCTGAGAACCTGGTAGTTGTTTGGTCCTTGAGCCTCGGTTCCACAGCAGTTCCAATCTGTCATTAAAGACTGGGAAGTTTCCTGGAGAGCCATGGGTCCTTCATCTGCTATGGGCACCTGGAACCCCTGTTTCTGATATCAGTGAAGGAATCATCATCATTATCATCAGGAACAGGATAAATCATCTCAGAATCAAGAGGGAAGACCAACCAAGCAAAGAGTGAGTCATCTTCCTCCTGGCACAACCCTCTTTATCTGGGCTACTAGCAGAAGATCCCCCGCACACTTGAGGTAGATCTTCCAACATCAATTTATAATCCTCCAGGTGAGGATCTCTACTCAGATGCCTCTAATTGGTGCCAATTTGACATTAAAACCCACCATCACAACAGATGTCAAATTTCATAACTGTGGGCCTATTACATGAGGGGTTTCAACTGAGAAAGCATCTAGAAGCTTTTCATAATTAAGCTGGGGCACTGGAGCAAAATCAATAATAAAAAGGCAGCACACTCATAAAAAGGAATAAAATCTTGATGCATGCTACATATGAAATGAGAGATGACAGACAAAAAGTCATATATTACATTAATTCACTTTTATGGAATGTCTACTATAGACAAATATATCCAGACAGAAAGTATGCTTGAGCTGGGGAAATGGAGAGTGATTTCCAATGAGTTTCTTTAGAGGCTGATAAAAATGTTCTAGAATTAGACAGTGGTTGTGGGTGCACAACCTTGTGAATATATTAAAAGTCCCTGCACTGTATATCTTATATGGGTCATACTTATGGTATGTTGAATTATGTCACAATAAAAATATTTAAAAAAAAAACAAAGTGATACACCAAAATAATTACTAAGAATAGGGGGGGAAGAACACACGACATTTATCATTGCTATTAAAGGACCCACAAATAAAACCACATTTTCAAAGTATGAAGGATTATATAGCCAGTCACTTAATGGCATCTATTAAGCATTTTTATATTTCTTTTCCTCGAGTTTCCCAGAAGTCATCTGCTGCACTGTTCTTCTCATTCATGGGCTCCAATGACTGCAACTGTCAGTTAGCTGGTATATTGTTTTTGTTTAAAACTTTCAAATTTCTTTAAGTAATTTCTTTTGGTTTTATTGTTCCCCATTTAGTTCACTCAATATTATATTAAAATCTCTGCTATTTTTAGATAAATTGAAATGCTCCTTTGACCATTAACTTTACCTTTAAAATAGACATTTACAACTATTTATGCCAATGCTACAGAGATGATATAATTAATAACATTTTATGGTTATCTATATTTACCCTACTCACATAACTTCCCATTACTGATCACTATAAACATCGGTTAGAAAGAAGTATAAACTGAGACATTCTGTAGAAATGAGAAAAAGTAGTGGTGTCTTGATTTTAATCTCTTTCTCAAAGATAGCATGAAGCTGGGAGGTCAAGTGGAGGCAACGCAACTTGCTGTAGTTCGGAGTGTGTCTTAAAATACAGTTATTCTGAGCCACAGGCCCAGAAAGCTTTAATGTATCACTTACGTCAGCAATAATCTAATGTCCCCCTGTGTCTGGACAAGTCTCTACTGTCCAGTTGGCTGCACTCTTGTGTTGAAGCTTTGAGATAGAAAGTGGGGTTTTCTTGGCTATATTCTTTTGCATATTTAAAGCAAGGGATATGTTCTGTGAGAGTAAACACCCACAATCCAGCTATCTCCAAAACTGAGCTCTGGTGTCCCCTCCTTTCTTCATAAGGCCACAAACCCTAGTAAACCTATCTTTAGTGTGACATTAATTAATCTTTGTTACCCCTTCATGCAGGCACACTGGGAGTAGTGCTTCAACATGTTGAAATTTGAGGAAAAGGCATAGTTTAATCAATAGTATTTCATTCCTGGCCCTCCAAAATACATGTTCTACTCACATACAAAATAGATCAATTTCAGCCCCAATGCTCCAAAGATCTTAACTCATACCAATATCAACGGTTAAATCTGTAGCCTAAAGCATCTACGTCAGATATGAGTGAGACTAGAGATACAATTTATCCTGAAGCTAAGTTCCTTTCTACCTCTTAGCCCATGAAACCAAACAAGGCATTATCTTCAAAAATATAACTGTGAACAGAGTAAGATAGGCACTCACATTCTGAAGGGGAGAAGCTATGCAAAAGAAAAAGATTCCAGGTCACAAGTGTGTTAGTGATCTTTCTCATCACTGTGACAAAAGACAGAAGCAATTTAAAGGAGAGGTGTATTTGGGCTCATGATTTCCAAGGGTATAGTCTATCAAGGCAGGGAAGGCAAGGCTGTTAGAGGCTACAACTATAACAGTCTGAAGCAGGGTTGGCTATATATTACATTTAAAGAACTGCCCCAAGAACTCACTTCTGCTAGCCAGGCCCCACTTCCTTGAGGTTCCACAATCTCCAAAAACAGTTACACCAACTGAAGACCAGGTGTTCAAACATAAGACTTGAGGGGGGTAGGGGACATTATGGATTTTGGTTAAATTTTCTATCAGGCCTGTTGGAATGACAGTGTGACCCTGTGGACACTATCTCTGGCACTATGAAAGTGACTCACCCATGAGGCAGTAGGTGAAGGCACACTTACCCACTGCAGCCAAGTAGAAAACCAAGGAGGATTCAGTCTTGCCTTGCAGAGTTGTGGTGGGAATGACCTTTAACTGACTTTCACTTCAGGCTTCTTTAACTGGAAGGATAAAGTAGATTCACAATCAAATAGATTTCATCTGACCAATAAGAACCAAGTCTGACAGTTCTCCTTAATATTGCCTCAGTGCTCAACTGATAGTCCTGGTACACCCTTGCCATTCTCTTTTTGAGTAGTCTTTTTCACTCTGTGCAATATGGACAGGAAGAAGATTTCCCATGGCTTTAAGTTCTGGTTCCTCGCAACTTCATTTTTGTCCTTCTACATTTCATTATAGTGAAAGGAGTCAGGCCACATCCTCAGCATTTTGATGAGAAAAATGACTCAGGCAGATACACATCTAATTTCATTACTTATCACTTCTACATCCTACAGTGTATTGAAACATAATACAGCCACTACTTTGTCCCATTATAATAAAGACTGCCATTATTCTACAAGAAAGCTTCTTGTTCTCACCTGACCTTTAATATCTACATTTCACTAGCACCCTGCTCAAGGGGATGCAGGTTCTTTAAGTTTTGCCCAATGTTGAAGCCCTTCAGTTGACAATGGTACCCATTTTTTAGTACCAAGTTTGCAGTAATAAAGGTAATAAACGTTTTCTGTAGCAATAAAGTCTTTCCAAAGAAATGGAACCCACTTTATTTTTTATTTACACATCTGTATATACATATATATGTATACATATATACAATATATATTGTTAGTTTTATGTTTACATGTATTTGTATAGTTACATGAAGAGATTTATAATGAGAAATTGTTTCACACAGTTACAAGAAATCTCAGCTCTGAAGTCGGTGGCTCTGGAGACCCAAAGGGTCTGATGACATGGTTACATTTGTAGAAAAACTCCTGATAAAATTTCTCATCTGAAACTTAGTGGGTTTAAGACCCAAGAAGAACTGATATTCCAGCTCATGTAAGAAGTCGGGGGAAAGTTGGAACTTTATGATAGGCAGGAAGAGTCTCCCTGTGCTTTAGGGGCAGGTCCTCTTGTACTCAGGCCTTGCTGATTAGATGAGGGCTATTCACATTAAAGAAGGCCAACTTCTGTACTTAGTGTATGAGTTCACACTAGGCATCATGTGGCCTAGTAGTCTTCTTGTAATATAAAATTTACCATCATAGTTTCACACATAGAGGAAACATACTGTAATGGGTGGGTCACAAAATGCTGACAGGCCTGATACAAGAAAAATGGGACAGATATACAAAAGAGGAATGGTTTTATTTAAGTTTGTGTTTCCAATGGTGCTAAGGCTTCTGGGTGCCAGACTCACTTTACTGACAGTGCTGTCTCCCAGATCAACATTATTTTAAAAATCAAATACCACCATGCTGCATATGAATTTTGCTATTGTGCTAGATGGTAAACACAGCTGTAGTCCATTTTGTCATAAATTATCAATTTATCTTTCTTGGGTGTTTTTAAGATCCTTCTTTAATGCAACTTTTGAGACTGTCAAGTAGAAAAATTATACCTTGTCCTATACAGCATAAGACTATGCATGCAATTTTGTTTCACCTGTAGACATTATGGTGGCAAGGTGCATCCTTCATTATGTGACAGGATACATGTATATATCATTGGATCACGGACAGGAAACACATGCAGGTTTTCACCACATCCTTGAGAACCCTGAAAAGCAGACCATTGTAAGGATGGCAATAAATAGAGTGAATAAGGTACCAACATTATTATAAGTTTCAGATTCATGTGGGGAGAATAAGAGTTACATGTAAAAATTATAAAATAAAACAAAGTTCTTCAATGTATTTGTGGTATCTTGTGGATACCACAAATATTTGGAAAGGGTTTTCGTAGAAAGTGTTTGTAGAGTTGAACTTTGAAGGGTGATTTGGGGCAGACAATGAGAGGTAGAAAAAGAGAGGTGGGAGAGGGGCATAAGAGGAGGTGGGGACAGAGAAGATTGTGGCTGTAAGTTGAGTAGCTAACATCAGAAAGGGTTGACATGCTAAAAAACCTGAATGGCTTTATCATCCTGCTTTGATATAATTTTTAATGAAATTCACAATCCTGACTTTAGTGTAAAAATAAATCAGAAATCTAGATGCATGGCCTTGTTCATGCCCACAAACTGCAGATCTATGGGGTAGATAACAAATTCACATGCTTAGAAGGGACAGTGATTATACTTGCAAAATGCCTGTGGAGTCCCTATGGGAGAAATGGGGTGCTGAAGCAGACAGGGCAACAAGGAATAGACTAGAAATGTTTCAGATGCTTCACTATGTCTTTTGGATTGTTTGTTTGCCTGTTTGTTTGTTTGTTTGTGACAGTCTCACTATATAACTTTGGCTGTCATGAAACTGGCTGTCATGATATTTGGACCAGACTGGCCTCAAACTCATAGAGATCCACCTGCCTGTGCCTTCTGAGTGCTGGGATTAAAGGCATGGGTCACTATGCCCAGCTCAGATGTTTTGTTACAACTTGTGCTCATATTACTCTGAAACTATAAGTCTTTTCCAGGTCCTGTCACTGACTTCTGATTCTCCTAAAATTGGTTAACCAGACTCTGCTTCCCTTTTTGTATTTGATAATTTGGTTCCTTTCCTATCCTAATATCCATGTTACCAAAGTAGCTAAGACTCCTCCAGTAGATTCATGACTCCACCTCTTTCAGCAGATCTCAGCCACAGTGTAGTACCAACCATAGAAGGCATTGGCACATAGGAAGAGTTGCTTGCTTTGGTTACCATAGAGATTAAATGATGCAACCAGTGTTTAGTGTGAATGAGAAGATCTAAACACTGGAAATCGAACAATTCTTGGAATAGTCTAGCAAAAAAAATGTTACAATCAAAGTAATAGCAATTGTTGTGGAATATTACTTTAACTAGGCAAAGATGTGTTACATTTGTTTTATGCTGCATTTGTATAATGATATAAAGATATATTGCTGTTTCACCTTGCCTGCCTAAGGCACTTGATTGGTCTAATAAAAAGCTGAACAACCAATAGCTAGGTAGAAGAGGGATAGGTAGGGCTTTCGGGCAGAGAGAATAAATAGGACGAATCTAGAGGAGAGAAGGAGGAGGAAAGAACAAGGGAGAAAGATGCCAGGGGCTAGCCAGCCAGTTAGCTGCCAACCAGCTAGATGGAGTACAGTGTACAGAAGGAAAGAAAGGTAGAAAGCCCTGAGGAAAAACATAGACAAAGAGAAACTGGTTAAATTAAATTATAAGAGCTAGTAAGAAACAAGCATAAAATAAGGCCAAGCATTCATAACTAATATTAAGTTTCCTTGCCATGATTTGTTAACGAGTTGGTGGCACATACAAAAAAATCCTATTATAAGCAATATACCTGCTTAATATCTTTATGGGCTGAATAAACAAATCTAAACACTTCAGTAGAGTGAAACAAAATATATATCTTCACAGTCTTTCATGATGTTTTGCATGTATAATTTTGGATGAGGAAATATGAGGACCTTGTTGACATAAAAATGCATCTGTGGTATAGTGTCTTAGGCTGCTTTCTGCTGTTGTACAATACAGTAGTGTCCAGGTAATCTGTGAAGAACACAGGTTTATTTCTCAGAGTTCCAAAAGCTGGGAAGTCTGGGATGACAGGGGAAGAGGCCATCACAGTGAGACAGAGCAAGGATGCTAGCTTAGGATTCTTTCCTTTTTTCTTACAAAGCTATCAATGTGCCTTCATGAAGATACCACCTCATGACCTCATCCAACACTAACTAGCCCCTTCATATACCACCAACATATGAATTTGGGGATTAAGTTTACAAAATATGAGCTTCTGTGGAACACATCAAATCATGACACTCAGAATTTCAGGCCTAGATCCCCAGGTTAATCAGCTGCCTACCCTGTATGTTCACTCACAAGGGCTTCACACACGTTCTGCAAATCATCGCTCTCCATCATCAGCCTCTGACCCTGTTTCCCCTCTCATAAGGTTGCAAAATCAGTTCTACACAGAACAAATTATAGCAAAATGAGAGCAAAAATATCACTCCATGAATGTCTGGAAAAATGCCTGATACAGCAAGGACAGCCTTTTTAAGAAGTCTGGATTGGAGACAGGTTTATATTAGGCAGCCTATTCTGAGCTTTCCATCCAACTCAGCCTATACCCTTACCTCCTATATATGCCTTCATACCCTCCTGAACATAAGTTTCTAAGTGTCTGGGGCAAAAGAGAGACAGAGACAGAGACAGAGACACAGAGAGAGACAGAGCGGAGATACGCACACAGAAGACAGAGAAACACATAGGGAGAGCAAATGCAAAATAATCAGTGTGGCATAGACACACACATACACACAAAGAGAAGACAGAGAGAGAGGCAGAGAGAGAGAATGTTAAATAGTGTGATATAGTGACACACATAGAGGACAGAGACAGAGAAAGAGACAGAGACAGCAACAGAGAGAGAGAAACGCACACACAAACACACACACACACAAAAGATAGACACACAGAGCAAATGCTAAGTAGTCAGCATGGTACACACACACACAGACACAGACACACACACAGACACACACACAGACACACACACACACACACACACACACACACACACACACACAGACAGACACACACACACAGAAGACCAGGAGAGAAACAGGTAGACACACATACATATACAACACACACCTACACACAAATTGTGCACCTGAATACACACATACACACACACACACACACACACACACACACAGAGAGAGAGAGAGAGAGAGAGAGAGAGAGAGAGAGAGAGAGAGAGAATACACTAAGTAGTCAATGTGGTAGTTATCAAGATTATCATTTATCAGCCAATAGACAATTCTAGAAGGAAACAGAGTAGAGAAAGAGAAAAACCCATCTGAGATCACACAAGATGAAGATCCTAAATAGTCAGCCAATTTGAGTGTCTCAAAGGCTTTATGTGCTGAAATTCAAGACCTGTTGAAAGACACATTACTATCATGGAAGTAGTCATATTGTTTAGTTCAGATGTGTGGTTTGGGGGTTATTAGGGTTAGATTAAGTCTTTATGGTAGAGCTGCGTAACTGAATCCTGGAAGCTCTTTAAGAACAAGGGAGAGCAAACAGACAGGTGTACTACCTCTTTGTTGCCATGTAATTCCATGAGTCACCTCGTGACTCTGTCAACAAGAAAGCCATCTTTATGTTAACCAGCCTCAGGTATTTCATTAGAGTGATGAAAATTAATTGGAAATAATTGGAGATTATTACCATAACTTTACCTAAAAATGTGGAGGTGGATTGAGAACTGGGTACACTGGTGGAGGTTAGATGATTTTAGAGGAACAGTCTAGAAATAGTCTAAAATGTTGAAAAGAGAACATTGTCGATGATTTTAATGAGGGCTCAGAGGATGGGGAATCTAGGCAAGAGCTGGAACAGGCTCTTCGAAATGTCATGCTAACACATCCTCAGATGCAGCTATTAGGAACCCGGGTAAAAGCTACTCTTGTCACAACATCACAAAATACTCTGCCTGAACAGTACCCATGCCCTGGAACTTTAAAGATATCTGGTGGAGCAAATATCTAAACAAAAGCATCCAGGCTGTTGCTTGGGTATAGTAGGATTAGGGAACAATGTCAGGACTCAAGGGCAGAATGTATAATTACAGGAAAGATTTGGAAAAGCCACAGCCTGACCCAGGAAGGAAGGCAGAAAAAGTGAGGGTTGCCTAGAGAAAGTGCTTGCTAAAGAGATTAGCAGCATAAAAGAGAGCCAGTACTTTGCATCACAGTAAGGTAAAAGGCCCTGAGGACATTTCCATGAACTCAAAGGCTGTTTACCGCTCTTCACAGCCACAGGGCATCTGGGGAAGAGTTTTTCTTTGGAATTCCAAGGCACTCAGGAGGGATTTAAAATGTTTGTTTTCTTTTTATTTATGTGTCTCTGTATATGGGTACCCCTAGAAGCCAGACGAGGGTATCAGATGCCCTAGACCTGGATTTGCAAGGGATTGTGGGTTCTGAGAACCAAACTGAGCAAGAACAGCAAAGCTTTTAACTACCAAGTCTTCTTTTCAGCCCCAAGAAATGGTTCTCTACTGGAGCCCAGTGATGCCTAAAGATTCTGGTCAAGGAACACAAGATCTCTTTGGCCTTGGTTCACATGGGCCTAGATGTGGCTTCTACTGGCTGTAAATCTTAATGGCATCTACATGAGCAAACTGTTAATTCTGAGATCTTGGCAAATTCCACTGTGATTTCAGAAGTCATAGGAGTCTGGACAGAAGCCTGCTACAGTTGGAACCTCTGCAGGGAGAATTTGATAGGTCCTTGCCTGTAAGTACAGACCCTAGGAAGGTAGCCATATCAACAAAGTGAAATACCAGTTCCGGAAACTCAGCAATAGTATTGTCCAGCTCTGTAGAACAGCCATAGGTACTGGGAACAGAACCATCCTAGGAATAGGGTACCCCAAGCTCTGAGGCCCAGCCTTTGCTGCAACGTGTACAAGCTATCATCTTGGAGCTTCAGGATTTAACGTATGTCTGGCAGGGTTTTAGTCTTGCTTTTAGAGCCAGTACTCCTTTCTACTTGCCTATTTCTCAAAAAATCATTGATGGAATCATCACTGGATTTGATTACTTGTTTGTATCTGTCTGGCCCCTATAGGGTGGAC